GCTTTGCACCAAAAACTTTGAAAATGTATTTACTTTTCAAAAAAATTGACCATGGTTAATACCATAGTTGTGTAATTTGTCCGGAAGAAAATGTTTTACAAACGAAATCATAATAATCGAGCCAGAGATGCCTAAGCCCACATTTTAATTCGAGTCGTATTTTTTCAATATGGTCCTTGGACGGCGGTGCTCACTAGAATGTGTGGATTTTACTTGAATAGTCTTAGTATCTTATTGTATAACACGTGCCAACTTGTCCATTATGTTCAACTGAAGCATAAGAATCATAAAGTGAGTCCCAATAGAAACATTTAGAAAAATATCCAAGAGGGTTCCATTCGAACTGAAACCTATTCCATTCATACCAAGCAACATAATAGTAACCTTCACTGTTGTGCTTCAAACTTTGAACTATCATTCCAGCTGAACCCCACAGAGGTACCTTAGGTAGATAGTGTTCAGAGGATAAGTGCCGTATGTTGGTCAACTAGAGGAACTAGAGTTTTAATCTTCGTCTTTGAAGATGATCACTTGGTGATCGAAACACATGTCGAGGTGTTAAAAATAACGATTTGGTGTCGGGAAAAAAAACTTCAGTAATATTCAAACTGGAGGAAAGACAAAGACATCTGTGAAACCCTGGATACAACTTCCAAAGACCAGAAAACATCAGGTATTCCTCTGCCGACTGAGACATGTCAAATTTTCGCACGGTTTCCTTTAATCGCACGTAGAATGAATACTTTATGATATACCAATATGCAATCATTATTGGATGAAATTAGGCATATTCATTAGTATTTGTCTGCCTACTGAATTAATCACTATTGGATAGCAAATTGCTAAATAATTTATTGTACTAAATTGCTCGAACAGCAGTTTGACCATAAAATAGTCTATATCTTAGTGCAAGTTGTTTGGTAGCAAGTAGTGGAGTATGATATTTCATTGATGGCCCCAGTGAAATTTCGAAAGACAAATAAAATTCAAATTAACCGTATTCTAATTCAATTTTCTCAATTATGAAACGTTTTTCTTAAACCCGCTTAATACAATGTACCGAACATTCTGAAATATCATGCAAGTCAGAAATTAGTGTGCAATACACGCTATTTTCAGTCTCCGAAGATTAATTTCAGCTAGCCTAGTATTCTTACCTGACTGGCATGCGACATTCCATCGTTAGTATTCAGTGGTTTGGCGACGGTGATTTTGACTATTCCTTTCGGGGCTGTCTTCAAAACTTGTACGGCCCTGTCGAGGGTGGCATGTTCCACGTCGATATCGTTTACAGCGAGCAATCTGTCACCTGGAATCAACCTTCCGTCATTCTGGGCCGCACCTCCAGGTACTAACGATCGAATCACAATAACAGTTTCCTTCGTGTTCAGCGGGTCCTGAAAATATCAAGATATTAGTACATTACAACAAGTAGAGAACAGTAATTCATGATATGTATAGTCGAAGTGAACGATAATGTGCACTCTTAAAGTTGACGGCACTCTCAAAGGCTGAAAACAAATACATAGAAGTGAACCGGCAGCGCACTAGTCCACGTGGACTGTAGACTTGGCGGTTCGTATTGGATAATTTTTACTAACCAAGTTTTATGATTAGCTGGGGAGTCATAAAATTAAATTTGTTATGTTGGTCATGTTACGGTGACTGATAGGAATCCGGGAATGTGTGGATGGTTATCGCCGTCGTGTTCAGTTCAGGAACTGATCGCGATTTGAGTGTTGAGATTCGATATTGGTACAGTTATAATTACTTAAAATTTTTATCTGTTTAGAATATGGCGTCCTTGGGCAAGTACTAATAGTTATAACAAATGTGATAACAACGCAGATTTCTGCTGGTAAAGTGATTCCAATAGCGAAGGTAAACAATGCTAAAAAGAGATACCAGTGAATAAGATTCGGATGCATTTGAATGTTGAAACACAGAGAGTATGTATCAAATGATTAAATAAACAGAAATGAATATATGTTTTCGTAATGCATTATTTTCAAAATAAACATTTTTTTAATGAACAAATGTAAAGAAATCAAAATAATAGTGGAATAACAATTGTTTTGCTACTCGATCCTCAGCAATCAAATAATAATTAAAAGCTGATTCTCCAAAAACACACGTAGAACCGTCAATGTGTGTTGAAAATTGTTAGTGAGATATATTGCAAACAGATAATCTGAAGATGAAAATAAATATTTACCATTGAAATATACATTGTGTGTATGACTAACCCAGTCTAAAATCAAACATTCCACCATTGAGGCGCATTCTCACGAGTCAGGTTCAGTTGACCGATAATAGTTGATCAACAGAAGTTGAACTAGTTTTTGTTCACTTTTTTCAACACAAAATGTGTCAATCCGTTTCATTCCCAACTCAGTTTAATGTAATTCAGTTGAGAAAATTTCATCGAAAGCAGTTGTGCGTGAAATTGTAAGTAAGTGTACTAAGTGTTGTGTTGAAAGAAGAACTGAAAATAATTCCCATTTATATGTGTTAAATCGTATTGACATGTTTCAACTTGAAAGGAATTGGCAGACAACTCATTAGTTGAACGATAAAGTTTGACTAGTCAAACTTTTGTTAATCCACTGAAAAGTTGATCAACATTAGGTTCATCGTTCAACTTTTATTGATCAACCATTTTCGGTCAATTGAACTTGACTCGTGAGAATATATATA